CCCAAATTCCTTTTCGATCTCGAATTTCCTTTTTCGCTCCTCTCTTCTCATTTCCAGCGTAACTTTTCAATCGGGATGCATGGGAAATTCTAATATAACTTTGAATTATGTGGAGGGGTTAACTTGAATAAGGGTTTATTGAGAGAAAACCCAACCAAGGGACTATCGGGACTATCAACGATTCAAGGAGTAATGTTAGATACATGCCATCTTAGGTGAAACATAGATGTTTAATGAAATGCTTGTGAGAAAAAATGGGGTTAGAAATGCGGAGTTGACAAATACTACTAAGATGAACTAAGTATTATTGTTGAAAGTCACCAACAAAACTGTAATTATTTTGTATAAATGACATATAATAATTTCTTTGTTTAATCCTTGTGGTTAAAGATTTTCCAACAGATGATCAAATATAATGAAATCCCAAACAACACATTCACCACTCATGTAACACCCCCAACCTGTATCCAACCCGGATACGAGTCCGAAGTGTCGCATTGACTTTTCAAACCTTTATTCGTATAAAATAGTGAGTAATTTTAAAAACTTTTATAACATTTAACTTATTCAAAATATTTACAAAACTATTCAGAGCTTATTCAATATATTCTTTTGATTACATGCCAACTAGAACTTTATATAAAAAAAATACATATTATTCACCTCTCTTCTGATCTGACATTCGGTAAGGAGAACTGACCTGCCTTGTTCCTCTTTACTTCTCTTTTCGCTTTCCAAACCTACGTGTGAAACAATCACACGCTAAGTCGATGACTTAGTGAGGCATATAAAACATATAATATTTCATATAACATAAAGCATACATAAACATATAGCATCATTATCATAATCTCTATCATTATCATTAAGAAACACATATAACATCATATGGTTCATGTAACACATTTCAAACCACTTACTTTTGATAACCATTTATAAACCCATCGTATACATATCACATTCAGTATGTTTGTTTAATCTCTTTATTAGCCCATGTACACTAGTGAGAAATTAAGGTATGTGAGTACATTGAGGTTGTGCACACATATGTTGTCACCACAGCTCATATAAATGTCCCGAAGGACCACATATCAATCCTTAAGAATCATATACATATGTCAAGGATCAAGTATGTGTCTCACCAGACTTCACACATGTTCCAAAGAATACATATATGTCCCGAAGGACCTATCCAGAGGTCATAAAGATCATCGGTAACTATCCAGAGGTCATAAAGATCCTTAGCAACTGTCCATAGGTTCCGAAGAACCTAGGTAAACTGTCCATATGTTCCTTAGAACATAGGTATACTGTCCATATGTCTCGAAAGACATAGGTAATTCTGTCCATATGTTCCGTAGAACATAGGTATACCCTCGACTCTTGGCATGCCAACTATACCCCTAGCTCTCATATCACATAACATGGGCATTATCATTTATAACATTTCATATCACTTGTTATTTCTCTTCTGTCACATACCACATGTATGTGTAACCATATATCTCATATCATATATCTTATAATAGATTATTATATCATCATTTGTTTCCTTCCTACCTATTCACAATCACACTAACATGTAATGCAAGCAATATGTATTAATACATACATGTAATCACATAACTTATATCATATCATTTCTCTTATAAACACATATCTCTTCTTTTCTGTCACGTATCACATATACGTGTAATCATTGATCTTATAATCCCATGTTCCTTCTCTTCTATCACATACCCTATGTATGTGTAAACATATATCTCATAAACATATATTTATGAATCTCATATCGTATCACATATTCACATAAACATGTAATCCACTTTCACATATCACTTAACATATTTTCTAATATGATCACATAACTCATATTATCTATCTCATGTCATATTCTCATGTATTTACTTAATTCAGTTTCACATAGCTTGTCACATAGGCATGTATTCTCATATATTATAATTTCATATAGTTCAATATCACATATCACATATACATGTAATCATGCACTCATACACACATAAGCATCATATCATTCACAAATCAAATAACATTTTAGGAGTCACTTCTTACCATAGTAACTCCATCACTGGCTCATCACAAGCCAATGTTTATTCGATAACATAAGTACAATTAAATTGCACTCACCTTAGCTTTGCTTTGATTCGATTCTAATCCTTCAATTGATTCAGAACGGGATCACGTTCCATATCTGCATAATCATACATAGATCTATATTAGTATTATAACTAATATACTCTAATGGTTCACTCTTTAGATTAAGATAAATGTCAATTTCTTCTTTCAATAAGGGTATGCATCGATGCACTACTGATGCATCGGTGCATAAAATACATTCGATGTTGTATTATTATTGGGATGCATCGATGCACTAATTGCATTCGATGTTTCTATTTTAAAAGAGTGCATCGATACACATTCAAACAAATTTTTGGGTTTTAACCTTGATGCATCGATGCACTATGAATGTGCATCGATGCACTCTGCCCAGAACCTCTTTTTGAACCCGAAAATCATCAACTCTTCACTCAAATGCTTCATATTTCATCTCCTTTCATATTCCTAACTTTCATATACATGTTTAAACTCATTTATAATCAATTATCGCGTCTTTAACCTTAATATCCTCTCCTCTTTATTAACTTCAAGAATCATACCATATTTTTAACATGTTTTAAATCTAATTCTAACACTCCATATTCCTTAATTAGATTGATGACAAGTCAAATTCCTTCTCAAAATTCACTTACTAACTCTTTTCCAGAATTTCCTTAAGAAACTCATTTTCTTTAATCTTTCATAACTTCTTTATCTTTTGATTTTAGGACAACTTAAGCTTTCCATAAGCTTAAGTATTACCTAATGATCAAAACCCACTCTTAAAATTAACAAATAATCAGCTAACAAGGAATTTTACATTTGCAAGCTTGGCTCTTTCTTTCTCTCGTACATGAAGAAGAAGAAGAAGAAGAAGATGAAGAGAATATCTCTTCATCCTTATCCCCTCTAACATATATATCCTTATCATATTTATTTTTAATTCATTTATTAGTTAAACGACCATTTTTTCCTCTACTTCATTTGATAATTACTAATAACTTTTAGGATTTATTTCCAGATAAATCATTGAACAAATCCATTCTTCTACTTTAATCACCAAATTCTGAAACTTTACCATTTAGTCACTAACCCATAGTTTGGGATGTTACAACTCAGCCTCTTTCGCTCACATGCACTCTCGTTTGGTTTTTGTTCTTCAATTTTCCGCCATGTAAAATTGTAAACCCAAACAGTGCTCTGTCTTACGCTTTTTATTTACAAATAAAAAATGGAGGAAGAGTTGCTGGAACGCAACATCGATTACGTTTATTTCTTAGCCTCTCCCCTCACTTGTAAGAAGGTATATTTATTTTCTCTTTTTGGGCTAACCGGAAGTAAGTTTTTCCTCTTTCGAACTTTCCCATTTTCAGCATTGTGTTTTTTGTTGTTGAAATTTTTATGTTTCTGGAACTGCATGTCAATGATCTGGATATTCATTGTTAGTTTTGAACCAAAACCATCTAATTTTCTTTCTTTCTTCTTAATCAAAACTTTTATGTTTCCAGCTTTGTTGGTAACTTTCAACAATGATACTTAGTTCATTTTAGTAGTATTTGTCAACTCTGCATTTCTAACCCCATTTTTTTCTCACAAGCATTTCATCGAACATCTATGCTTCACCTGAGATGACCTGTATCTAACATTACACCTTGAATCGTTGATGGTCTCGATAGTCCCTTGGTCGGGTCTTCTCTCAATGGACCATTATTCAAGTCAACACCTCCACATAATTCAAAGTTAGATGAATTTCCCATGCATCCCTAACTGAAAAGTTACGCTAGAAATAAGAAGAAAGAAGCGAAAAAGGAAATTTGAGATCGAAAAGGAATTTGGGGTTTAGAATGAAATTGAGGATTGTGTTGCAAGTTTTAAAAGTTGGGGGACCTAAATGCAAGCGCCTGAAAAGTTCAGTTACCATATTGCAAACGTACTAACGGCAGTGCAACGACGTTAACGGCCAGTTACGTTGGGGACCATATTGCAAACGGACTAAATGTTGGAGGACCGTATTGTAAGTTTTAAAAGTTGAGGGACCTAAATGAAAACTTTACAAAATTTCAATGACCATGACTATACTTTACCCTAATTTCATTTGTGAAGAGACATGGGCAGCAAAAGATGTTGATTCTTTATTGTCTGACAAATCTGCAATGGCAAATGACTTCCTTCTCTTGCCAACCAAGTGCATTGTTCATATACCTTTTGAAATTTTGGTTCATTCACCCGGCAATTCGTAATATTCAATTAAGATTGGAATCTTTCGGAAATGGAAATTTGCAAGAGAAATTATCAGCAACCTCAAAAAATTGTATTTAATTGCTGAAAACTTCACTGGACGAGTAACATCCACCCCGTAGTGAGTTCTGTTCTTGATGCTCATACTACTGAAGTAAGCTTTAAAGACCTTGCTTTAATCTTTTATTGCATTTTTTCATGGTTTATATCTTAATCTGAGCGATCGATATTGGTATTCAGAATAATGTGTGAATTACTTACTAAGTGATTTTTTTTTAATTAATACTTACCAAGTGAAGTTTGCAAAATACAGATGGGTCCCTTTTTGGAACAGACTGTCATCGTTTCGCCTTCTTCCTCCCACGGATAATTATGTTCTTCCATACAGGGATCCATGGAAATTTTGTTGACAACCCTTTTTTTTTTTACAAAGGTTAACGGTTGAGCAATTCCAGAAAGGATTTAGAAACGCCTTCCTTTTTACCCTAGAAACAATGAAACTACATCACGATTGAATTTTACATCTGTACAAAGCTGAAGGTGCTGCAAATATAAACAACCTTATTCGTTTCAAGCAAAGAATAAAAATTATGTAGCTAAACCTACCTTTGCATTTTCAAAAACCATTGCCCCCTTCCCTAGACCTATTACCCTTTGTTTTACATGAAAGATGGGCTTCACCATGGAATTTTTACCTGTGAATGGCCCCTGGCAGGTAGCGGGTTTGGCCTATAGAAAAAAAGAAGCCTGATAGCAAGTTAGTCTTGAGAGGAAGCAGAATACTCGAAAAGAAGGCGTTTGGAAGGGGCAGATTGTAGCAGAACTCGCAGACGACTTGTAAGTTTGTATATCAAGGTCCATTGCATAGCCATCTCCGAGTCTTTCAGCTGCCTAACTATAGAGGCCTGAGAGAGAGAGAGAGAGAGATTAATGCACCACGTAAGAACAAAATTCGACATTGATTAAAGCTTGTATAAGAACTTTTTAGACACATCCAAATGATTAGTGCACAACCAAAGCACCTAAAAACTGTTTTGCAATGTTCGTTTTTGGTTCCCTGGCCTTTTCATTCTATACATATCGATTCACTTTCATGAAAAGCTTCTTATATGAAATGGAATATTACATACAAAAAAAATTGGATAGAATTTAGATTTACCTGCAGACGTTTTCCAAGCTGAACTTCAACTTCTGTTCCAAAGGATATGTTACTGGCCAAAGATTTGAGAGGATCAGCTGTTGGATCAACAGAGAGCAAACTGGGGATTTGTGGGGCATACACAAGCCTCCACCTGGCCTGACCAAACTCTCCCTTCCCTTCTATTCTAGGCATCAGTGTTTCGAGTGTTGCAGTCGCAAGCTTTTTAAATGCAAGTTGACCATCACCTTCCAATATGGACTCGGCCAATTGACTCTCAAAAACTCTAGCAGCCTGTGCCAGAAGGGAAAATTCAAAACAACCCATTATAATCCATGAGATAAGAATTTTTATCTGAATTTGGAAACTACAAACAAGATGATAAACCACATCAAAACCAAGGGCAAAAATTATCCAGATATCCATGCTACACTTATAAATGCATTGTCACATTGGATAATGACATTGTCAGACCAACAGAAAACCATAACCAAATGTCACACGTGGCAGCGAGATCAGACACATGCATTGTATATGAATGGAAGTACACAACAAACTAGTTTGATTTTATCATGGCATAAGGAAGAATTTCATTCAGAATGGTTTGATTTTATCCTTAACACAGCTTAATCGCGGGTATAAAGCCAACTTGTGTCATTCTACCTTTGCCACTTTGTTAGAAGGTAGTGGGAAAATGCTAACAATTCATATTGGTCAGGAAAGATAATTTCAGGGACTAGATCTTTTATTAGTTATTCTATTACCTCAGTGGGTGAGAGAACATCCTGCTCCACAGAACGTATTGAGGTTACAACCAACTTGTCCTGCCAATTGCTGGCTCGACCTTGTATCCTGAATTGCCATTCTGATCCGACCAAAGCTAAATCTAGCATTGGATCTAGACCATGCTCTGGTTCAAATTTTGCTATGTTTAGATGTTCCCGCTTAAGCCTGACCTGATTTAGAGAAGCCCAAGTTAGCATATCAAATGCAATGAAAAATCACACCAGAAACATTTTTTTTTATAAGAATTGAAGGCCTCGTTAAAAACCCCCTTCTTGATTAATGGAGCTCGTAGAGAAGCTCCTTAATCAGCGGAAGGAAGAAAATAGTGCTTTAGGATTTCATTAATCAAAAAAGAAGTTACATAACAAATACAACACCCAGATACACCAGAAACAATTTGAAAAGCGCAAAAGGAAAGAAACTTAAACAAGATTAACATAGAAATACATAAGACTCACTTGAGTTGCAACAAGATTCACATCACCATTCTCAAATGTTAAAATGCCCTTTGGTTTTATCCGCTTTGGATGAGCCAAGCCATTCAACTCGAGTTCCCCACTAACAGAAAAGTTAAGAATCAAAGGATAAACTATCCTCAATTCTGGTCCTAAAACAAGCTTTAAATCACTAAGGCTTACATCTACACTTGGTTTAATGTTCACTAGCTCCATCTCCTTCTCAACTTCAGCTGATTTAACTGGAGGAGCAAAAAGATAATAAGTATTTCGCTTGGGTGATCATAAACAAAAAATAGAGACGAACTGATTATACAATGATAGATAGGATTCTGCATGTTCATGAAACTGGGGATAAATCCTCATCCATTTCAGGAGATTGACATTATTTATTGCATTTTAATAAATAAAAAGTTGCTTCATCCTGTCAGTGTCACCTAATTTATACAGAAAATAAGAACAAAACCTAAATATAAGTATCCAATAGCGTTTAATATATTAAATCAAAGATTTAGAAATCAATAGACCAGGTCATTTCTATATCTATAATTTTCTAATACAAGATTCCACCAATAGGTGTGAATTTAAAAATAACCAATAGAGTTTTTGCTGCTTCTTCTCTTCCTGTTGCATCAAAGTAGCTTATTCCTTGTATTTGTAACCCATTAGAGGCTTTAAAGTATTGGAAAACGAGAACAACATCCACTATAAGAGATTTTCCCTTGAACCTCTTCAAGTTATCTGAGAGCCTGACTGATAGAAAAGGCCCCCAATTTTCTTTTCTAGTTGAGTGATTTGTTTTTAACTTGGGATTCATGAACACACAATTGGTATCAAATAGCACATAAAATACTTGTCTAAATTCTTATCTAGTTGTAGAAAAAGAAATATTTCAATAATATCTTCCGGAATTAACAAAATTTAGAACCACATAAAAGAGCAGTCTTGATTTCTATTGCTGTATTTGGTGACTGCTAGGGAAAAAGAAAAGGCATCAAAATTGAAAGCATTGAATAGCATATACTACCAGATGGTTGTGGGTGTTTGGTCCTTGAAGAAGCAGGTTCAGAACCGAAAAACCGTGAGACATATCTAGAAGCAACTGCTTTGTTGACACCGGCATCTAGAAGCCTGGATTGATTTGATGCCAACCTATTGAAAGGTGCAGCTCCACCACCCTTATCATGCGGTAAATATGCCTCCCCATGGCTCAATTTAATATTCCCTGATATGTTTGGCTGCAGTATGGAACCAATTATCTGCAACTGAGTGTCAACCTGGCCACTGATTTCAGCAAGATTTCAGTTTTCCACGACCAACACATACGAAATCAAAACAATTACACAGCTAATGAAAAGATAAAAGGGGGGGGGGGGATTGAGAGTTCTGCTCGGTATATGGATCTAATGGGGAGAGTAGGGCATATGCCAGAGGGCAACTAGGGAGCAGTACTGCAACTAATCCCTTTCATCAATGCTGACAATAAACACAGGAACCACTCATATTTAGAAACAAATTCACAATATTAAGAATCATAAATCATGTTCACCTCAGAATGTTCTTTGCCCGTACTTCAAGACCTTCACATTTCAAGTCAATTTTATCACCCCAGGGATGCTTCACTTGTTCTAAGGGGTAAATTCCCTTTTAGAAACAGCTTCCCTCTTCTGCTTACCCTGCTCTCCAATAAAGCAATGCATAACTTATTTGACTTCACACGTACGGTACCACCAATGTTTGTAAGTGGTTGCTTGAGTACTGGCGAAGATATAGATGCCCTGTGGAATGATGTGTCGAAACGATTTTTTCTTAATGGTGAAAGTGTGAGATTTTAAAAACCACATTAATTTTTAATTTACCTCTTTCAATTGATTTTTAATTTAAAAACAAATGCGATTTAAAAACCTTTCGTTTCAAAAAAAAAAATCAGATTTCCTTTATGATCGAAAAAATATAGTTCAAAGAGTCGCCACCAACCTTTGATTAGGGTGTGATTGGGCACCCAAAAATGTTTGTTATTTTAAATAAAAATTAATTTTTATTAAAACAACAAATTGAGGTCTGCGTTACCAAAGTCCGAGTTCGGGAGTCGGTTACGTGTGGGGAAGGATTAGCACCCCCACAACGCCCTAAATCGGTACCTAATCGATTAATTAACGTTTTTGCAATGAACTTTACAAATTCGAAGTTAATTTGAATTTTGATCCCATAAAACAAAAATGTAAATTTAAAATATTCAAGAACACTCAAACGAATTAAATTAAAATTACCGAGTCATTTTAGAAAGATAAAGAATGTTCGATTATTTACAAATATCGAGACCAGATCTTAAAGATATAACAACCTTTTCTCGATATATTTAATTAAACGAACATTTCTTTTTCTTTCGTTCCCAAATTTTAGGTGACGAATCAAAATTTTTTGGTTTCACTTTCGGGATACACTTTTAATTTAAAATCATTAAAAGCGGACCTCAAATCAGTTATGACTGCCCACTTACAATAATTTTAAATTAAAAGGGCATTACTCTTAATCTAATTATGTAATATGTCGAGTTATGCAAATGAGATTATCATGTATATTATACAAAATAACGTCATGCAAAAACTAATTAAAATATGCCATGCGCTCAAACAAACTTCTAAATCTAAAAAAAAACATGTATTTACGACATTAACATACATTAGAATAAAACCATATATACAATAAAACATACTATTAATAACTCGACTTCACATTCAAACTTACCATGAAGGACCATAATAAATTAAAATTAAACTAAGCATGCAAAATAGGAATTAACTATTAAATTAAAAAAACATGCTAAGTGACTAAATGGTCAAACAACCAAAATTACAAATTACATTTCAAAAATAAAACATAAAAACATTTCAGGACTAAAATGAAAAGCGCTCATAAATATGAAGACAAAATTAATAAGGTGCAAAAGATTCGTTCCAGGACCAAAATAAAAGTTCCGTAAATTACACAACCAAGGTAAAAACAGTACGAAAATGGCTCTAACATGATTCTGGGCTAAGATATAAAACGTTTAAAATTAAGAGACCATATTAAAATAACAACAAAGCTCGAAATGCCTGATTTTGGGGACCGAAATGGAATGCGTGCAGAATACTGGGTCAGAAATAAAAACTAGGAAAGTATCGGCTGAAACGACGGCGTTTTAGCTAATAATTTAATAAAATCTAACCTAAAAACAAAACCCTAATATCTAAACCCAACAGATCCCTCACCGTTCTCTCTCACTCTCAACCGTCCCCTTCTTCCTCACTCACGACCGCCTTCACAGCCTAAGGAAGCTCCAACGCCACCAAGCCTCTCACCCTCTCCTACGCTCGACTCCGATGAGAACACCATCTAAACCCGACGAGGGTTTGGCCGCACATAACTCTAGCCGAGAGCCAAAATCCTTATACTTACCTTCGATCCATGAACGCCACCGAGCCTCTCACCCCCTCCTACGAACCCACGACCACACAAAGCCGTCGCAGGCTCCGATGAAGATTAAATCTACCCTAGTTAATCTCGACAGTTAGGCAAACCTCAAACAAACCTAAACTCTCAACCCCGAGACCCTTACACTCTGATCTCTACTGTTCGACCCTAAGGTACTGCCTCGCTTCCTTTCTTTATTTTCTTTATTTTGGTATTATTAAACTAAATCTCACACTTTTTATTGACTACTGAACCCACACAGAGAACAAATGAAGCCGACGAGACTCCTTCTTTTTCTTAGGCTCGAGCAGTATAGGTAAGTCCCAGTCCCTTTCAACATTTTAATTTTAAAAACAACCACACATGCATAAAACAAAAGAACGAACTGGAAAATTAAGAAAATTGGAGAAGAACCCCTAGGAGAAATGTACCTTTATTGCTTTATCTATTTTTGAATTGTATGATTACACTGCGATTTCCTTTCGTATTCTCTCAATACTGCAAAATCGCTGATAGTTAATCCAATTTTCTGCTTCCCCCTCGTTTCTGGTCGTTTTTTTTTTTTTTTTTGTTTTTTTCCTTGGTTTTCTTTTCACTGGTTCTCCCTTTCTTTTTCATTGTGTTCCCCCCCTAATGCTCTCGTTTTTTAGTGGTTAAATGTCCCACGTTTCTGGTAGTTATTTCCCCACTATCTTTTTTTTTCTGGTTTTTAACTTCCCAGACAAATTAAGCATCTACAGCTGCCCCTCTTTGTTCATTGTCGTGTAACGAGAATAGAGCAAAGATCAAAAGATGATTGAATTTGTCTGGTCCTGAGAATGTTACGTCAGGATAAATGAGACTTGAAACATCTTCAAATGACGAGCTTGCTCCCTATTCCTTCAGGAAGTATAAGACTCGAGCAATCTTCATAAAATGTGTCTGCTCTCTATTCATTCAGAGAGTATAAGACTTGGACAATCTTCAATAAAACGGGTCCGCTCTCTATTCCTTCAGAGAGTATAGAACTCGAAAAATCTTCAATAAACAGGTCCGCTCCCTATTCTTTCAGAGAGTATAGGACTCAATCTTTAACAAACGTGTTCGCTCCCTATCCGTTCAGGGAGTATAGAACTCAAACAATCTTCAACAAAACGGGTCCGCTCTCTATTCCTTCAGAGAGTATAGGACTCAATCTTCAACGAACTTGTCCGCTCCCTATTCCTTCAGAGAGTATAGGACTCAATCTTCAACAAACTTGTCCGCTCCCTATTCCTTCAGAGAGTATAGGACTCAATCTTCAACGAACTTGTCCGCTCCCTATTCCTTCAGAGAGTATAGGACTCAATCTTCAATGAACTTGTCCGCTCCCTATTCCTTCAGAGAGTATAGGACTCAATCTTCAACAAACGAGTTTGCTTCACTACTCTTTCGTGAAGGCTTATAGATTTAATTGCTTCACTGCTCTTTCGTGAAGGCTTAAATTTACTTATTTTGAAGGTCAAACTGAAAGCCATTGGATATTTGAATCTGCTTTGACTCAATTTTCGTCTGAACAACATTCTTGTCAAAATCTTAAGACCAATTATCTTCATCTTGATGCTTCAAACTCTTCAATCTTCAACTATCATTGGGAAACCTGCAAATGCTTAAGTCATCATGCAATTATGAGTGTCATGATCCTATTCATGCCTAAATGTATGCAAATATGCAATTTGATGCACTTTCTTCTTCGAAGGAACTCTATCTCCTTTGATCTCGATGGAACTCGGCTTCATCTTGGGCACAGAACGTTTGACCAGTTCACCCCAGTTGACACTCTCAATTCCATATCTCTTGCCTTAATAGTACCTTGACTTATTTTTTTCTTGAAACCCGTCAGTACCCATGACCAACTTCTTGATTAATGGTAACCTCATTGGGTCATCTTTTAATGGCTGAGATTTTCTTTGAATTTGAGGATTTTAGTTTCCCATGGCCACACAAGCTTACATGTTTAAACCATTGTCAACTTCAGAATACCTGCATTTTCCAAAACCTTTTGCACAATAATACAAAATGATCTCATGTACTTCAAGTTAAGCCATATGTTTTAACCTTTCAAAATAAGATGTTTGCAAAAGGGAAATTATCAAGAAAAGACATCTCTTTATTTATATAAATACAGAGAATTTTAGGCAACTAAATGGCAAACTTTTAACTGGAAACAGTAAAAGAACAAAAGAGTAGGCGTCTTCAAATATCAATAATGCAAATGCTTTTGAACTGGCACGCCGTTAGAATGTCTCGAGCGTAGCTTCTGTCAAAAAGATCTTCAAAATTGTGATGCTTAAGAGTATGAAGCTATTTCTAAACTCCCAAATCTCTATCATTGGATGCCCTAAACCAGTATTGAATCTCATGTGCATTCAATATCTCTCCTAGTTATTTCAATCGAGACTCATTAATCTTTAGTCTCATCCCTGATCACCAACTGTCATTGTTACTATCCATATCAGGAGCTTTTTCCACTTTCAAAATTAATTCAGAACCTTCCACTATGCACAAATTCTGAATTTCAAATTCAACTCAAGTCGCCCTTTGCGGGTTTTCAACTTGAGACCTCCTTTGGTTCCAAGACGCCCTTTTCGGGTTTTCGTCTTGAACCCTCCTTTTATTTCTCTTTTTTTCACTTTTCATTTTTTCTTCCATTTTCCATTTTTTCTTCTCTCTTTTTTATTCATTTTTATTATTATTTTTTCATTTTTTTCATTTTTTTCTCTTTTTTCTTCTTCAAGCGAAATATTTCTTAACAGCGTCGGAATTCACTGGATATGGTAATTCTGATCCATCCATTTCAGTTAGGACTAGAGCTCCTCCAGAAAAGGCTTTCTTGACAACATAAGGTCCTTCCCAATTGGGCATCCATTTTCCTCTGAAATCCTTCTGAATAAGCAAAATCCTTTTAAGCACCAAATCTCCCTCATGGAATTCTCGAAGGCGAACTTTCTTACCATGTGCCCGTATCATACGTTTTTGGTACATCTGACCATGACAAATAGCTTTCAATCTCTTTTCTTCAATCAAATTCAACTGGTCATACCTAGCTTGGACCCATTCTGCCTCATCGAGCTTCACTTCTGACAAAATTCGAAGTGAGGGAATTTCCACCTCAATAGGTAAGACAGCTTCCATCCCATAAACCAAAGAAAACGGAGTTGCCCCAGTTGAAGTCCGTACTGAAGTTCGATAAGCAAACAGAGCAAAGGGCAACTTCTCATGCCAATCCTTATAGGTCTCAGTCATTTTCTCTATGAGCCTTTTGATGTTCTTATTGGCCGCCTCTACTGCCCCATTCTTCTTTGGGCGATAAGTG